AATTCATTTCAAGTTTATTTATGTAGCACCAAATCACAACAAGAGTCGTCTCAAGGTGCTTCACAAAATAAACATTCCAACACAGGTCAGTTCATTAAGCCATTTAGTAAAAAGTTTTCTAAATAAGGAACCCAGCAGATTGCACTGAGTCACTGACTAGTGTCAGCGTCTATACAGCAGTCCTCATAATAAGCAAGCATGTAGCGACAGTGGAGATGAAAACTCCCTTTTAACCCATTCACTGCCAGCCGTTTCCTGATCACTAACGGCCTTCGCTGCCAGCATTTCTCACCGTTTTTACTGTTTTTTTAAGAGTCACAGAACGTTGCGCGCTAGCATGATGTCGATGCCAAAAGAACCAACACAAAGCAGAGACTCACCTCTTACATCAGGAAGAATCCGCGTGTTTCGAGCGTTATCCGTTCTTTCATAATCCGTTGTCGAATTGTGATCGGCAAACGCTTTTCTGGTTCGCTCCTCACTTTTTTTTACAGGAACAGCCCAAAGCGATCTCCTAACACATGGATGTTCTGCTTCCTGATCACATGATGTGTGACGAATGCGGATGAAGATCGGCTTCAGGGCTGAGATGTTTGTTCTCTCAGCGCGGGGGCTCGTTCCGATGCTCAAACAGTAAAAAAAATGCAAATGACGACTTTAGTCGTCAATGGCAGTGAATGAGTTAATAGGAAGAAACCTTCAGAGGATCCTGGCTCAGTAAGTAGCCATCCACTATGACACACACACACACACACACACACACACACACACACACACACACACACACACACACACACACACACACACACACACACACACACAACTGTCTGAATAAAGTGAACAGAGAAAATTCTGCCAACACAACAAAACACAAAGAAGGCCTTGGCAGAAATGGACAGCTGCAGTTTGTACTTTTGTCTCAGATATTTAAACACAATTCAGTTTTTTTGAAAGCTGCTTATTATGGCTATAGGATCTACAAAGATATGTGAGAGGTTTTTAAAACATGAAAGCATACAAAAACAGGCCAAATCATCTCTTTATAAATGGATTTAACACAAAACAATCTAAACATCCATCCATTGTCTGAACCCGCTTTGTCCACGTAGGGTCGCGGGGGGTGCTGGTGCCAATCTCCAGGGGTCAATGGGCAACCAGGCGGGGTACACCCTGGACAGAGAGCCAGTCCATCGCAGATAATCTAAACATGATTCATGAAACTTGTAGACCTCCTCAGTAATGACATCTTCCTCATCCAGTCACACAATTAACCCTAAGTCAGAAAGTTAATCTGTTTTCTATTGTTCAGGTCTGAACTCTCAACAAGGATCACACATTCCAGTGCAAACCCCGTAATTTTAAAGTAGCGGGTGTGTCAACTAAACAACAAAAACAATGGAGGGAAGTTGATGAATGTCCAGAAACTTTAATTAAAACTAGTTAATGATCCATAAAAGAAAAATCTGGATGAAGAAGAATGCAGAAGCAGTGAAGAAATGGCAAAAGCAAACAAAAAAAAAACATCTGGAAATAAAAGGGGAAGTAAAATGAAAGGAGAGGTACAGTAGTAAAGCAGGGGATTTCAGTCTACTTTACAGAGTTTGTTTTTGTTGGAAGGAGTGCTAATGGCTTAATGTGCCTGAGAACACTGGGACCAGTCTGAACAGTCTCGCTGGGTCGGACGTCGAGGTCACTCAGACACGGTACCTGGCGCTTGCGGGTTTGATGCCCACAGTGCTGCTCTGACCTGCCCAGATGTGCTAGAATATACGATGAAAAGCTGAGAAGGAGAAAGAAAATACGAAAGGGGAAAAGGGATTCCTGTGTGTCTTCTTTGGTCTTGTTTGTTAGTCTTAACAGGACTGAGAACACTTAAAGCACTTAAAACCAGTCTGACCAGCGTGACCTCCAAGGCACAGAGGTTAAAAGCCTTCTGTTGACAGACAGAGGGACGAGGAGGGAGGGGGAGCAGGAGGGGATGATGTAGTGAGAGGCTGTAAGGATCTATCTATCTATCTATCTATCTATCTATCTATCTATCTATCTATCTATCTGTCTGTCTGTCTGTCTGTCTGTCTGTCTGTCTGTCTGTCTGTCTGTCTGTCTGTCTGTCTGTCATCTCATATAAAGGTTGAGAAAATACGTCTGATTTTGATCGTCTACCTTTCCTTCATTCATTTGTCTTCCTTTTTCCCCCCAATTGATCCGTCTGTCTCACATTGAAGCCCTTGTCTCATCAACAGTTGTGTGTGCTGTCTAGTTTTCATCATTCTGTTTCCGCTAAATAATATCAGCAAAACACACAATCTGAAGCTTTCTCGCACACTCATCTGCACTTCCATTAGAACAAATACACATTTATATGTTTATGTATTTAGCAGGCGCTTTTGTCCAAAGCGACTTACAAGTGATAATCGGCATGTTTCCCTTGAGGCTAACAACAACAACAACAACAACAAACAATTTCCAGTCAGCCGTAGGTGGCAGTGAGGCAGCATGATGAATCATGGAGAGGACGGAACAAGGAGTGGACAGTAGAGAGGGGGGACGGGTGCAGGGAGGGAGCTAGTTTAGAAGATGCTCTCTGAAGAGCAGGGTCTTCAGGAGTTTCTTGAAAATCGAAAAGGAAGCCCCTGTTCTGGTAGTGCTTGGTAGGTCATTCCACATTTGTGGAACTTCAGTCACCTGTAACAGACCAGGCCCAGAAACAGCACGCCCCATTACACCGCCACACCACCATGTGTGTGTGTGTGTGTGTGTGTGCATATGAAGCCATTAGCTGTAATATATCCTTTCCTCTCTGTCTGTATTTGATTCCTGTGTTTTCTCCCCAGCTTTATGTTCCTTCCCCTTCTGTTGGTTTTCGAGTGTTTGAAAGGAAGCTACACGTCATCGCCCATCTCTCACACTGCATATGATTTCAGTCGTGTGTTTACATTCATGTACTCTGTCACGCACACAGAATGTAAAGCTAGGGCTCGATTTATGATTATCTTCCTTCATTCAGCGCTGTGATCCTTTGTGTGTGTGTGTGTGTGTATGTGTGTGTGTGTGTGTGTGTGTGTGTGTGTGTGTGTGTGTGTGTTTGTACATTTAAAGAGAGCTGCTTAATAAACCTCACTGCATCCTGTTCTGTGAGCAACTTAAGAAGGTTGACTTTCATAGGTGTAAGTTGGAATCTGTCATGATGGAGCTGAAATGAAACAGGGCTCCTTTGTTGAATTAAGAACATTTATTTTAAAAACACGTTTTTTATAACCCCAATTTACAGACTTGAGTAAAGTCACACCAATTCATTTTGTTTCAAAAAGAACACTGAAGCAGTCTTATCATTGTTGGTGTAATTGGTAAAAATTTAGTCCCAAAACTTCTTGAAATTCTTCTATTTTTCAATCATTTAGCTTCTATTTCCATTGTTTAGTTCTTTTCTAAACACAGGGTAGTAGAAGATTTTTTTTACCAGTTTTGCTGACATGTTTCATCTAACGCTGTAGCCTTCCTCAGAGCACTACCGATGTTTTTGGCATTACATCCTTCTCCGTTTATTTGAGGGCAGCAGAGGATGATCTCGATATTCAAATTTAGCTTCTAATTTTAAACACAAGCAGTGATCATTTTAACAGAGAAATTTAAATTTGTTTGTCTGTTGACTATTTTTAAAAAAGGTTTTAGTCACAATTTAGTCATTCAGTTTGTTTTTATTTTAGTCGACTAAAATATATGTATAGTTTTTTCTGATGCAATCATTTTCAGCTTCATTGTTGTGAAGCTATATGAAAAATTCACATTTCACACTTTGGATCAATACAAATCTATATTTATTATTGTTTTCATAACGATGATTATTGGAACATAACACAATAAACACTGATAGTTTGACATTGTGTCGCTCAATATTAATAAAGTTAACGAAAACTGTATAATGTGCAGTAAAATGTGTAAACATGACAGGAAATGACAGCACACCCTAGAGAGAGTGCCAGTCCATCGCAGGGCAACACATAGACACACAGGACAAGCAATCACACACACACACACACACACACACACACACACACACACACACACACACACACACACACACACACACACACACACACACACACCTAAGGACAATTTAGACAGATCAATGAACCTAACAGTCATGCTTTTGGACTGTGGGAGGAAGCCGGAGTACCCGGAGAGAACCCACGCATGCACAGGGAGAACATGCAAACTCCATGCAGAAAGATCCCAGGCTGGTAAGCGAACCCAGGATCTTCTTGCTGCAAGGCAACAGCTCTAACCACTGCACCACTGCTCAGCCCGACCAAAGTGCATAACAGAGATAAAAACACATCATAAAAGTGCAATAAACGGTGCTGATTCTTTTTTTATCCATTCCTCCCATCAACCCAGTTTTCTGATTCGATTTTTGCTACAGCCAATTTTTGTTGACGTCTTTTATTCGTCAATGAAAAAGTCTATCAATATTTGTCATAATTTAGTTTTAACAGAAGCGATCATTTTTGGTTTTAGTTTAGTTTTCGTCCTCAAAAGTTAATTTCTCATAAAAAAAAGAAAGAAAATATTTTTAAATGAACACTGTACACAAGCTTACTGAACAATGTTGAATCTCAATTCTAATCTGAACTAATCCTGCTCATCATCAGGTTACTGTTTCAATCGTTTTCCTTTATGGAATCACCTTTTCACCAAACGCAATAAGTACTGTGACTTATGTAACAACATCTGGTGAAAACTGTTGCTTCACCCTTTAGAAGAGTACGTCACCTCATACATCTGTCATCAGACTCACTCCGTCGTTGTTCGGCCTTGGCCCTGTCCTCCTTCCTCTTTCAGCCATCATTAGGATTGGGATGCATAATGACATTTAAGTTTTAGCACTCACATTACTCTTAAATGGAATGACCAACTACAGTTGTCTGGATGGTATGATGTTACATAATAGAGATCAACTTATAATTGATGGTATTATCATATAATTGTCCTTTCTTCAGGTGTTGGTTCAACCAAAGTTGTGGCATTTTCAGCCTTCCTCAATGGCCGCTACCCCCCTGCCGACTTGACTGGAGACATCATTGTGTCCTACAGCTCACCAACAGGTAAAAATTCTGTCATGAAATGTTTCATAAGGATTTTTATATTCCATTTCCACCAAAGCTCTTAGTTTTACTGAAAAAAAAAATGTACAGATGTTTTTTATTTTTTTTATTTTGCCTTCCATAATGATCAGTTTCTATCAGAGAAAACCTGCCCAATTCTGTTCTGTATTTCATGTTCTTAGAAAGCAAAGGGAAGAAAAACACAAGCAACACAATCTCAGTAAATAAAATGTAAAGTTGTTAAATGTAACACAGAATGTCTGCGTTGCAAATTAAAAACAAGAACACTAATTATAACCAACTATAATCTCCATTTCTACATTAATATCTAAGGTTATTCATCATATAATACATTTTCTTTGTAGTAAATGTTAAAACTTTTGCTGCAGAAGTGTTATAAAGTGAACATGACGACCTTCTGTTAGCAGAGCGTTGAACTGGTGTAGCAACATTTGGGCTTTTTCCAACCCAGCCCAGTTCATCCCCTCGCTGCTTCCAGGCATCTGTTTCCAAGGCCTGCAGTATTTCTGGAAGATCGAACTTTCCTAAGCTACAAAACCACCCTTTATTTCAAATGTCACAGGCTTTCCTTAAAAAGGGGGAAAGAAACTATATGTATTTCAGTATTTGTTCAGAAATCAGGTCATGAGAAAAAAAAAAGTCTGTTTGTGTGCTATTGTTTCCTTTGGATTCCATTTGGCTTTGGCAGGCCTCTTAATGGTGCAGCAATTTTTCCTCCCTAGAAGCACATTTAATGTGAAATGTCTGGAAATATTGGGAAGCGTTTCTTTCTTGTTAAGTGTTATTGTGATGCTAAAAATAGTTGAAAATACGGAGTCTGGAGTATTTCAGTTGGCTTTAAAAGTCAAGCAGCTTGTAGGAAACTCATTTTGTGTTCTGGAAGGGGCTGTGAGCATCTGAAAAGCCCTTTTAACCACAAGGAGAGGGTGATATATAATAAAATCAAATAAAGAAAGCAAAATGAGGCTTAAAACAAAGTATAAATGCAGATGGATGCATTTGATTGAATTTGAGTCAGTTTAGAAACTTCTTTACAAGCATACAGCGATGGACATTCAGTGATTGGTAAATGGCTTGTATTTGTATAATGCCTTCCTAGGATTTTACAACCCCTCAAGGTGCTTCACAATACAATCAGTCATCCACCCATGCACACACACATTCACACGCTGGTGATGATAGCTACAGAGTAGCTACAGCTGCCCTGGCTGGGGCGCATTGACTGGGGCAAGACTGACGAGCACATGTGCCACCAATACCTCTGACCACCACCAGCTGGGAAAGCGGGTTATGTTTCTTGGCCAAGGACACAACAGCAGCATTCTCTGGTGGGGGCCGAGATCGAACCTACAACCTCCCGATTGCCCACTCTCCCTCCTGAGCTACTGCTGCTGATATAAATGACCATGAAAGATGCGCATGCATGAGATGTGAATAAAAAACATAATCACTGTTAACAGAAAGTAATCAACATAACCGGCTGTGGAAGCATTTCTTATTCCACACAAACCAACGTATTCATTACATTAAGATAAACTAGTATGTAACTCTGAAGCTCAGTTCACACCTTTTTTGGATGTTGTAGATACATATTTTGTGGTAAATAGAATTATAGCAAAAAATGACAAAAAACAAAACAAAAACAAAGTGAACACTAGTGTTATTCACAGGTCTGTGGCCATCCAATGTGACAGACCCACCAACATCTTATTTAGAACCCTCAAAGCCAAATCCAGTCTCCTACATCATTTAACCTGTGGCAGAAAGTCTACGACACGGGTCTACACCCAGGGAATGATGAGCAAAACTTGTGACGAGAGTACATGCAACAATAGCGGTGTCAACATTAGCAACAACGGAGGCTACATGCTAGGCTACATGTGGAGCACTCCTTTTTGGAGTTCGATTAGAAGTCTACTAAAACAAATGTGAACGCCAGCGCTTCCTTCCTATAATCATTGCCATCTGCTTTTCAATGACGTATGCTTGTGACGTTACAGTTTTTTTCGATTGCTTAAACTCAAAAAGCAAAAGTGAGGCACGATTTTTACAACCTCTACTTCTGTTCCCAATCGCTTGACTCAATTTATCACTACTTAAGATTTCCTTATCGTATTAGAACTCTGATTTTCCTCCTTTACACTCTGATGTCAATTTCACATTACCTTGCTGTCAAAACACAACACACAATTTTCAGGTTGACACACACTTTCCACATAAATTCTCAAAGCTTCAATCAACAACACACAAATATTCAAATCTCTAAACTTTCACGTCTGGCGAGCAATTTGCAATCAGGGACTGCAGCATAAAAGTAAGTTTCCACAAGGCTACCCAGGTGTATGGGTGGTTTCAGGACCACCCACGGTTTTCTATTTTATACCTTCCACCTTATTCCCCCTTCCTCAATGCCACTGGGGAGTTTTTATCAGCCTGGAGGTGGAAGGTGTACGAAAGGAATCCACAGAGCCAGGTCCCACTGCTTCAAGCCATGGAGGAGGCTTGTAGAGATGTGGCCTTTGAGGCCTGTCAGGGCTTCATGAGGCACTCGAGGCAGTACTTCCAGCGCTGTTTGGACCAGGAGGACATCGCCTGTGATGTCGATGAGGTCCTCTGGCCAGACAGAGACCAGAGGCATGATGCCCCATGATTATGCTTGAATGGGAGAGGGGGTGGGGGGTTAACTGTAAAAATACAATTTTTTGTCTCAAAATTTGTGGGATGTCTAATGTTTGTCTCAGAGAAAAGTGGGCCCTGTCATACATTCAGTGTGTAATTCATTGTGTTCCATTTAGACAATTGTGTTTTCAGTTTTGCTCTTCAGTGTTCTTTCCATGCTTGGTAGTGTTCACCCAAAGGCTACTTGTGTTTAAGCAAGGAATGGTGTGTGTGTGTGTCATGTGAAAATGTGGCTGTGTTTACCAATGAAAACACGTGTTCCATTTTGGGAACATGTTAAGATGCGTGATGGCAGGGTTTTGTTGCAAAGGGAAGCCACGGTTTAGGAATTTGTGTGTTATGTTTGGTGTTTTGTGTGTGCAGTTTTGAAAGAAACGTACAGTTTTGAAAAACGCGTTTTAGCAATCGAAAAAAACTGTAACATGTCTTGCTTGTTACTCTGTGCAGTTTGACTCACTAAAATCACTGGTCGTGCCCTGTTCAGCTTTTCTAGAGCTTACATAGTGTGGCATGAAGCAGTACTTTGAAATGGCCAAAAAGACACAGCATTAACCAGGCTCAAAGCTGCAATGGCAAATCTGCAACATAAGCTAGCTTTTAAACACAGTCACAGAACACTCACCCCTCCCATTGGCAAGCATTCCCAGGCCACTTTCGCCTGATACCAGAACACGCATTGCCACAGTAAACGAGAGCACAAAACACCCGTTGCCGTTTTCTACATTAAAACTTTTTTGTTGTTGCCCGTGACTTCTAATGGTGTTTTACTTTTTAAGACTCTGGTAGTTTGTCCTGAAGTAAAAGTGGTAGCAGTCGGCTCTTTCTCCTTCTCTGATATTATTGAGTGGAGAACCTCTCATACCAAAATGAGTGAGTGCGTGATGAGTGGAAGACCCAGGTAAATTTGGAAATGCGGTTGGACAGAAACCTGGATGTCCAATTGTTGATTTTGGCCTTAGTCATGGTATTGGCTGAGGTTTTTAGACACTTTTTTTTACATCCACAAAATATTTATAGCCATACTATTTTAGAACTTTAAGAGGAATGAAAAAGCTAGCTTGTTGTGTAGATTTGCCATTGTAGCTTTTCGACTTTCAAGAAACTCCCGAAGGCCCTGCTCTTCAGAGAGCATCTTCTAAACTAGCACCCTCCCTGCACCCGTCCCCCTCTCTACTGTCCACTCCTTGTTCCCTCCTCTCCATGATTCATCATGCTGCCTCACTGCCACCTACAACTGACTGGAAATTGGTTGTTGTTGTTGTTAGCCTCAAGGGCGACATGCTGATTATAACTTGTAAGTCGCTTTGGACAAAAGCGTCTGCTAAATACATAAATATAAACATTTAAGGCAAGCTAGTTCAATTTGACTGTACAAAGCTGCTAATGGGCCATTCCACTACACACTTCTTGAAAAGTGCAAATTTGACTTGGAGCATAGCTCCATTAAAAAGTCTGTATTTCACATGAAAGCACTGTCTTTTCCAAAACCATTTAGTATGACATTGGTACTGCTTATTGACAGCTGTTGTGTATCTTTATGCTGCTGACCTGTGAATAACATAGATCCAATCCCAGTAAATGAGCCACCAATCATGCCTTCAGTACATCATACCCCATGCTGGTTTAACAAAGGACTGAGTCTGAAACACTTATGTTTTATTGGACCATGTTGTGGAGTCGTGTCCCATGGTCAGATACAAAGTGGTCTTTAAAAACATTCGTGCAAATGTGGGAGAATGTGGTCGTAGCTCCTTGGTTGTGACTTCCTCCAGTGCTAATCTGCAGTAATGCCTCCATCACCTCTTATCCCCAAAATGCTGCTCTGGCTTGGGAAGGAATTCATCACTTTGTGTTCACTGCCACCCAGGGGTGATGATTACGCCCTCACATCACCGCATAACCCAATCCCACCCTGAGGCTACTGTGTCCTTCCTTAAGCTCTACAAAGGCTCTGACATTTAAGAACATTGTTGACTTCTTAAAGCCTTCAAAGGCGGCCTGATGATGGCAAGGGCCGTTACAATCTAGAAAGAATTTCATTAGTGCCCCTCTGTGGTTTTCCTAATGCCATGGGAGTGGGCTTTACACAAACACACTCCAGAGGGATCAAGTGGTCAAGCTGGCATTTACAGAACTTTGTTCGTATGCACAATGTGTGTTTCATCTGAGCAGCAAGGCTGCAACTGTACAGATACTTTCCATAAAACATGGCCAGCCATGATTCACTGGTTGCTAAGCCAGTTTGTGTGGAAACCGAGGAAGCTAGCTGGCAGTGTTGATTGTTTTCTCCAGTTTTAGTGTCCCAGTGACCAGCATCTTCACACGCTGGTGTTTCCTGGAGCTGCAGCATCTTGTTGGATGCTGTCCCTTTTTACCACTAGGTCCAAAGTCCATTTACCAAAACTTTTTGTTGATGTTTCTCTTGAAGAAGCTCATGTTGCCAGTTTTGTCTGCAATCACCGTGCAAAGCATTGTAACTGATTAGAAGGAATGAGGTCAGAATGACTTTATTTGTAACCTTAGGTCCTTATGAATTTTTTTGATATGTTTCACTATGAAGCTTAGTGATGAAGCAGTGTTTCCCCTGGGAATTTTTCCAGCTGTGGTGGTGGGGCCGGCAGGGGGGGGGGGGGGGGGGGGGGGGAATTATGACACGTCTCTAAATAAAGTAAAAATTTCTAGTGCAGAGAGGAGACAACCCATAGAAGCACTAATTTGATCTCATTTCAGAGTAAAATAGAACAGGTAACCCATAGAAGCACTAATTTGATCTCATTTCAGAGTAAAATAGAACAGGTTAGATGCACCTAATAAATAAAATTACTAACAAACTCAGGAATCTGTTTCTTTGCTTCACTGTGCTGAAAAATTCACTCATGCGGATCAAAGGAGATACACAGATGAATGCACCTCTTATTTATTATTTGGAGACTACATTTACTGCAGCTGGCAGAGGCAGAGATTTTTTCTAGCGATACACGGAATTTACAGAATCATTTTAAATGTTAATAGGGGAAGACTGCAGGAGGGAGCGGTAAAATACAGGGGGTCCCCAGCAAAAACAAACAACTTTACAAGTCTGATGAAACCCGCTGGTTTTCCATCAGGCAGTCACGGTGCAGCTCCAATGACCCAGTGGCTGTGCTATGCCACGGCTATGTAAGGGAAACCCTGGATGAAGGGTGTTGTTTGTAAATGTATATATTTTAAACAAACATTATTGGATAAATTGCTTTTCCTAAGTGGACAGCTCTTTAAAAAGTGTAAAATGCTTTTGCAAAGCTTAGATTTCTCAAAAATACATTTGAATTTACAGGTCTGGTAGTTTATATTCACTGTTTCACTCAAACTAAGCCCACCAGGCCAGAAAGATCTTTGGCATTTATGCCAAATATTTGTTGTTGTTTTTTCATCCCAAATTTAAAGTTTTAAATGATTAAATAAAATAAAATAAAAAAAACTGATCAAATAAAATGAGACTAAATGACTTGAAAGACGTTGACCAAGGAAGAAGTTGTACAGGAGAGACGAATGTAAGGAAGAATGCCTTTGATTATGTTTAATATGATGATAAAATTCTTGAGTCAGCACCTCATTGCCTGTCCATTGGCTAGCTGTTCATCCATCTGCTTCCCATTCACCTTCACAGGAAATCCTCTTCAACCAATCATATCAGAGCTTAATCTTCCAGACTTCTATCACCGTGGCCTAAAGGTTACAGAAGCAGTAGACGGACAGTTTAAATCCCAGAGCAGCTGGTAAAACACAACACTGAGCAGCAGGGATAAAATATGCCTTTGAAAAAGAAATCTCATTAAATTTTTTATGTTTTATATTAATTTCAAAGGCTGTTTGGTGGAACTCATTGAACTAAAAAAGCTGGAATTTTTATATCCATCTTTCCATTTTCTTCTGCTTATCTGGGGTCAGATCGTGGGGGCAGCAGCCTAAGCAGAGAGGCCCAGATTTTCCTCTCTCCAGCCACTTGGGCCAGCTCCTCCCGGAGGAGTCCCAAGGTGTTCCCTGGCCAGCCGAGAAACAGTTCCTCCAGCATGTCCTGGGTCTTCCTTTGGTCTCCTCCCAGTTGGGCGTGCCCAGAAAACCTCACCAGGGAGGCGTCCAGGAGGCATCCTTCCTAACCAGATGCCTTAGCCACCTCAAATGGTTCCTATTCATGTGGAGGAGCAGCGGATCTACTCCGAGCCCCTCTTGGATGACTGGGCTTCTTACACCATCTCTAAGGCAGAGCCCAGACACCCTACGAAGGAAACTCATTTTGGCAGCTTGTATCCACGATCTTATTCGTTCACTACCCAAAGCTTGTGACCATAGGTGAGGGTAGGAACGTAGATCGACCGGTAAATCGAGAGCTTTAACTTCCACCTCAGCTCTCTCTTCACCACGTCAGACTGGTACAACGCCCGCAACACTGCGGACGCAGCACCAATCCTGTCGATCTGTCACTCCATCTTTCCTTCACTTGTGAACAAGACTCCGAGATACTTTAACTCCTCCACGTGCAGTACTGTAGAGGGTCATCAGCACAGCCCAGAAGATCACTGGCTGCTCATTGTCCAGCCTGGAGGACATTGCCAACTCTCGTTACCTCAGTAGAGCAGGCAATATCATCAACCATCTGTTTGACCTGTTACCATCAGGCCGACAGTACAGGTCCCACAGAACCAGGACAAATAGATTCAGGGATAGCTTCTTTCCCAGAGTCATCACTGTAGTAATCAACCACAAAACCAGACCAACCTTTAAAACTGAACCACACATATACTGTTCAACATTGATCATGTGCAATAACAATTAAATGTGCTATCTGAGTTCACTCAATATGCTAAAATTCTGCTTACAACAATGACATGCACAGAACCCAGCTATATAAATGCTGCTACTCTGTGTATACATTTGTATACATTGCTGTTGATTTGACATTTTTATTATTATTGTATTATTTTGGGTTTTTACATTTTGCACCGAAGGGTGTGGCACTCCAATTTCGCTGAACCCTGTACAATAACAATAAAGTCTATTCTATTTTATTCCATTCTTGAGGCAGGACCTCGTCCCTGACCTGGAAAAGGCATTCTATATTTTTACGACTCAGGATGAAATTTATACTTGCAAAACAATGTCCACACATAATCTGTGTTGAAATTTGTAAGAAAGGAATGAACGAAATAAGTACACAGAATATCCAAAGATTTTTTTTAAATATGTGAATAACATCATTGCAAGTCAACTGTCAGTGTTAAATCCAATTATACGGTTAAAGTATGAAAGCAAAACTCATATTGACCAGTTTATAAGGATACTTCCTTTCCAGTACCGCTGTCAAACTAGTGCTTTAAATATTTCTTGACAATGAGGTCTTTTTAATTTCTGATTTGAACATCTCATCATATTTGTGGTCAGTTTGGCTCGATTTAGGAGCTGCAGGCTTGCACGACTCGATGTGTGGGAATGGAATGACTAGAAGCATTTCCAGAATGTGTTTAAAGTCTGAGTGCATCCACATGCAGGAAGACTATATGGTTGCGTGGAGTCAGATAATATAACTGTTTGTCTCTGGACTGAAATGAAAGCAGACAAGAGAAGCAATGCGACTTTTTTGTGCCAGATCTGTTTGTCTGACCCTTCAGGTTTCTTTTTTAAGTAACTTTTAACTTTTCTCTTCCTATTTTCTGCAGAACTTAATCCTAAAGGTAAGTTTTCTGTTAGCACAGCTAAATAGAGTAGATGTAGAAACGTGTTGTCTCTATTAAAGAAACCAAATGCCCTATAGATGCACACATAGATGATTTTTAAGAGACTGCACACTCAGAAATGCACTGATTATCAACACAACACTAAATACACACACACTAGCATATATACAGGAAGAAACTGCTGCTGAGTGTTTATGTTCCTGTTATGTGATACTTGGCAGGAGTTACACAGACACACCGGCTCATACACATTTCCTCACTCAATGGAAAATGTAAATATGCATTTTTGTCCATTTATCTTTTTATAATCTATGGAGTTTACACAGAAATAGCATCCGTCTCACATGCGTTGCCAGGCAAAGCAACATGCAGACATTTGTGTTACAGCACACCAACTCTTGTAGACATTCTTCACTTGTCATGTTATCCTAAACTTAATCGAGCTAAAAGCCTAGCGTTCCTTGAAGGAATGCATATCACCCGCCATATTTGATGTAAGTTTTAAACTACAGGATTGGCCATTTACATGGATAAACCTTAATGAAATGGGAATTGTTGGTGATATTAACGTCCTGTTTCTAGCACATTAGTATATGTGAAGGGGCAAACTTTTCAAGATGGGTGGTGATCATGGTGGCCATTTTGAGGTTGGCCATCTTGGATCCAGCTTTTGTTTTTTCAATAGGAAGAGGGTCATGTGACACATAAAACTTATTGGGAGTTTCACAAGAAAAACAACGGTGTGCTTGGTTTGAACGTAACTGTATTCTTTCATGAGTTATTTACAAGTTTCTCTTTTTTCACAGCCATTGACATGTCAAAGAGGCCATTTTGAAAAGTATGTCCCCTCACATATACTAATGTGCCACAAATAGGATGTTAATATTACCAACCATTCCCATTTTATTAAGGTGTATCCATTTAAATGGCCCACCCTGTACAGTCATTGTGTTTTGAGAAAGTATGGTGATTTTAGTTGAATCTCACACAAAACCTCTCTTGAGCTGTTATAGCACTAGATTGTTGTTCAGTAACAGTAAAAAGTATTGAATTATAGCGACTTTTGTGTGAGCTAATGCTAGTTAGCTGTGGTAGCCATCTTCAATGTTGCTTACTCCAGTGTTCAACTCTGTTGTAGAGGCACCTTCAGAGAGTGTCATTAAAATCCATTTAGTTGTTCCTAGATGTTTTGCCAACACACACGTGCACACAGCCAGACACAGGCAACAACATTATAATTACACACACACACACACACACACACACACACACACACACACACACACACACACACACACACACACACACACACACACACACACACACACACTTCAATTCAGTTAATTCATATAAACTAGGTATTGTGTATTGGTGAAATTCTGGTGAAAAGGATACGTATCACGATACATTCAGCCAGACAATATTAGCGATTTTTTTAAAACTGAAACTATTGTAGGAAAATTCAATAAACAGTTCAAACTGATACTGAACATGTTTAACATGAGGTATCTGAACCATCATAGATGGATGACAATAATTTAGGTGCAGTATGATATGCATGACAGATGTATATCATCAAAGCATTAGAATTGTGTTGTAAACGTTTTCTTTTTTTAAATTAGTTTTCTTTGTGGTTCACACAAACCTGCATGCTGCATCCTCCCTATCAGTGCTGCACAGACACACTCAGGGGTGACATCACTGCAGCTGTGGGAAGAAACGGATCCTTTACAGCGGTCCTGTTCATATAAACTTTATCTTCTCTCTTTTCACTCATGTTTCTAACACCACTGACACCACACACACACACACACACACACACACACACACACACACACACACACACACACACACACACACACACACACACACACACACACACACACACACACACACACACACACACACACACACACAGTTCAGATAAGTAGTCAATAATCAGTCCTTCTAGATGGTTTATTATGGAAGAGCAACAGCAGTAGTGATCAGTTTCTATTTTATGTTAATAAAATAAAAGTTAACACTCGTAGAAAACTAAACATCTGAAACAAAAGACCTAAGGACATGCAGATAGTTATCTGTGCAAAGACAAACATGAGAAATAAAAGTTTTCATTTAATTTCATGGTTGCAGAACTCTTCCAATTGCAACCACCTGTTGTTTTTCCTCTCACCCCTTTTATATTGAAACATGTATTCAATGGTGTTCCAGTGCTGACAAATTCACATTCAACACTTAAAAATCAGCTCTTCGGTAGATGGCACCTCGTTTGTTTGTGGTGCCGAGTTCTGATCGGTCTCCTGAAGATGGAGAAAGAGCCACAGAGGAAGGAAGATCCAGTCACAAAATGATTTATGTCTTTACTTCACTGACTATATTTCATATTCACCTAAATTAGGATAGTTTTGCTTTTGTGTGCCATGTTTTTTTATCTTTTTTTTTCTTTTAGTCATCCAGTGGTTTCCAGAATTTCAGGATGTTATGAAATTCAACTTGGACCAGGATGAAGCTTGCATGAGTCAAACAGTCACAGTGAACATCTTTCCTTCCCCGATTATCATCTGTTTACCTTTAAACACAGTGGTTTGGCTTGACATGCTGCCTGCAATAATTCTCAGGTGACTGGGATGCTGGCTAAAATACCCAAACAGAACTACTTTATGCTAAAATAAAATAAATTCTTAACATCTGCAGGTCTTTGCAGCATTGGAAGTTTTTTTTTTAATGGTGTGAAACAGTGAACACACACCACAGATGATGATTATTTACCATATAACTGACAACATGTTTTGATAACCCTGTGTTGTGTTTCCTGGATGTGATTTGTTGTTTAACTTCTCAGTCACCCAGAACGGAGGGTCAATGACAAAATGAAGCATGTGAGGAGTGAAGAAACATGCCTACGCTCCTTTTACTTCTACAAGTGAAATCTTGGCTTTAACTCTTTTCGTTTTCTTGCTCTGCATCAGTTTCTGTATCAAAACTACATTTAATTATTCAATCACATTCTGATTGCTTGTTGAGAATAGAAAGGTGGACAGTAGTTGTAGATAATTATTCTTATCTGTAACTTTTCAGAATGAAACCCATCCACTCAGCTGTTAGTCCTCCTTTTATTTCTGTTCCAGCCTCTTATGTTGATTTATATATGTAGTTTTTATTTATTTATTTTTTTGTGCTCGGCTCAGATTTTCTCCCTCTCCGGTCGTTAGCTCACCTCCTCTCCCTCGGTTACCTTGCTTCATCTTTTCTTAACAACTGTTTTCCCTTCATCCCTCTTTGCCGTTACTCTGTTATTCTTGCTAAGTGTAGTTTTCTGCCAAGCTCAGCACTGCTTAGGATCAGAACATGGTTGTCGTTGGCCTTAACTCGCCTCCCCCTTTCTTCCTTTATTCCCTCATAAAGTTTCCCCCCACTTGTCACCAAACATCCCTTTTGGATCTCTGACCAACGCACCTCCACATTCGGTGTTGATATTAAGTCTCCTAGCATGTCAGGTAATCTGAACATCTACAGGGCTGCTTGTGTTAACAAATGTTGACCTGAATGTTGTTTGGAGAGAAAGCCTGGAGGTGATATGGTGACCCTCTTTGGTTTGATAAAGAGCTACCTGGAAGGGGTTGAGGTTTCTAAATTAAAAGATGTTCAGCAGGAAAAGAGCAACAAGGAAATGAGATTGGATGGTAGCTCTAAATGTCACACAGCTGACAGAGTTATAGCAGTAGAGTTGTAATAAAATGGAAAAGATATTTCAACTTTGAAGTTTTTACTTTTCCGCAGGAGTTCCCCGGGTTCTCCAATCCAGGTTCAGTCTTCCTCTGGCTTTGGTGTGTGTGCCCTCATCTCCAGCCAAAAACACCAAGTTTAAAATCACCGTGGACACCAACCAACCACCTGTTGACCTCAGCTCCATTTTTCGAGGTAAAACACTCAAACATCCCTGGGCTTTGGCCCGGTTCACATGGCAGAATCGAAAATTTGTCGAACAACTTTCAAAAAGTAAGGGACCTCACACATGGCAATAACATAACTGTCAGATATAAGAATTTTAATCCTGCAGCATGTGGTGTATGGCCACGGGGCAGAAAAGAAACCTATTTCACTCCAGCGTTCCCAGATGAAGCCGGGGCGTACACTGTGTGACTTTTTCACTCATAGCGTTCAGCTCCATCTCGAACTGTACAACTTCCTTGCAAGGTTAAGCTCACAAGTCATGTTCTTACCGTAGATGACCCTATGTGTGGTAGCAACACGCTGAAGCTAAAAATATTAGAAAAATAGTCGTTTTTACACAAAATCTCAGATCTTTGAGTCCAGAAACCCGGAAGACCTTGGGACTGCAGGTGGTCCTTCAGGCTTGCCGTAGGAGGGCACGCAGGGGCTTATTGGGGTTGGAGAAGGAAAACTAAAGAAAAAAGTAAACAATGCTTTTTTGACAAACGTCACTGTGTGTGGAGAAAAGTATTAAAAATCAAAGGAACTGACATGAGTTGACACAGAAATACCTTTGGAATTGGGCCGGTGCATGCACTAATACTAAATGTTCTGGTACTTTTTAATCGCAGCGCTGTGTCAACAACGTGATAACCTCACAAGGGACGAGCAAAATACCAAACATGTTTGATATTTGTGCGAGAGCAAGATTGCTGATCGGGAGCTGGTCGCGAGGTGTTAATCGCTTATTGTTACCCCCTGTTTAAAACACAATGTACGACTTGCCCTGACCCCAAAGATTCTACCACGAGTGGAAAATCGGCTCAAAAGGGGCCAAAAATCACATAGCGCACGCCTGATGCAGTATCTCACAAGACCTCTCGAGAGCAAACATGACTTCAGACTAAACAAACATGGTGGAGGAGAAGAGTGCAGCATACTTTCGTCACCTTGATTTCTAATTGGCTACATGCGTCACATTCAAATATTTTGTCCTCAAAATTAGACCAAGTCAACCCAGCAGGTTGTATTTCCCCAATTTATGAATGGAGCAGTCTCGACATCCTTTAGAGCGGACTAGAGCGCTCGTAACACACCACATCTGATTCAAAATGATCTTTAGAGCCACTATGGTAACCGGGCACGACCTAAACCGGTGAAATGGGGCAAGCATCTGCATAATAATCTCCCTGTTGATTTATCAAACAAGCAAAGTTTGACATTTTAATCTACATTCCAAAAATAAATCATCTGTTTTAGGTTTTAGTTTACTGCAAATTTTACAATAAAACTTAAAAGTGCTGTTCAGCGACAACAGAAAATAAATAAAAACAAATACAATACAACTAAAATATGACTAATTGCAAAAATGTGCAAACCTCTTCAACCTAGTAGCAACAGTGAGATGTGTAGCCGTGTGTGTACATTTATTTGAATAATCTGTTACGTGTCTGTGTGGCTGAGTGTTTATACAAATGTGTTTATGCATGTTTGTTTCAGCTGTGGGAACCTCTTTTCTGTTTCCCACTTATCTGACAATCAGCTAAATTCAGCAGAGCTGATGTTCAAACACACACTCAGTGCTGTGTGCTTTCTTCGTGCAGATGGGATCTGTGTGAGCTGCTGTTGTGTGTCTTTGTGAAGAGTGTGACTGTATCTTGTTCACCATTGTTGGCGCTCGATATCATGACAGACCATCCTATCTGTTTCATCGCCCTATTTTCTGCTCTCTGTCTCCTGCTTCAGAGTTTTCAGCAAAAACAGAAGATAAGGATGGGAGTAGTTTGGCTTTCCAGCTTCTGTCAGGAACCAAAGTTACAGTTGTGGCCTCAAAGACCTCCCGTGAGTCCGACTTTTAACGCCACATGATATCGGTTACTTTAATAGAAGCTGGTTTACATGCTTTTACCTGCTTTTATGTACAACTCATACAGATTTCACCCTGAAACGGCATACCACTGTGTCTGTGTTTCTCAGAGCGCTACCGTATCCAGAGTGACAGTTTTGAGGACATGTGGTTAGTGGTGAAGGAATTGCTTCAGCGGTTCGATCAGCATTTCGCCAAACTGGGAATCAAAGACTTCAGGAAAAGTTTCAGCGGTTCTCTCCCTCTTCAGGACTACTTCCTGTCTGTAGACCATCACTTTCAGGTATTGGTGTTGTTGGTGCTGCTGTAACAAGCAAATTTCCCCACTGTGGAATCAATAAAGTCCATTCTATTCTATTCTATTCTATTCTATTCTATTCTATTCTATAACAAACAAAAAAATAATAAATATCAGAAAGGCTGGGAGAATAAATGTTTTTGTCTAATCACCATTCTGAAGTAAAACTTGTGTCTCTGTGTGTGTGTTAGCTGCGTGTTAGCGCTCAGCAGTACCAAGATCTGCTCTCCGAGCGAGCGGTCCAGTTCAGAGCCATCCAGCGCCGCCTGCTGACTCGATTCAAAGACAAGACCCCGGCACCTCTCCAGAACCTGGACACACTGCTGGAGGCCACTTACAGCCAGGTCAGTGACACACCGAGGTTTATTTATGAGAAATATGTCTGGTTTTGGGGTTTTTACGTAACTGCTTCACACAGTTAAGCCCAAACTCGCTACAACACACACCTGCAGTCTCATAGAGTGTGAGAGACATTGTACTGATGCCATAGGCGATAGGCTGTGACTGTTTAAGATTGTGTGTGTGTGTGTGTGTGTGTGTGTGTGTGTGTGTGTGTGTGTGTGTGTGTGTGTGTGTGTGTGAGTTTACACCTAAGCAGAGGAAGTCCATAAACTAGCATAATACAACCTTCACACTGTAAATCCTCACTGACACGTCGTCGCTGTGTGTCTGTGGATGTGCATCTAGCTGATATTTTGCGTGGCCATTTTGGGTTCTGGAATCTTTTAAGTGAGGACATTTATGGAATTTATGTGGGTTTGTTGCACGTTCCCCACTTCAGACTTTTACACAACACTTTCACAACTGGCCTGCTTTTTCCTGCATTGGTGAGACGTGATTGAGACAGAATGGGAGCTTGGCATCGATCCAATGCTGATACTCTACTGAGCAACAAAAATATAAACAGAGACGAGCTGGTGTGTGTGTGTGTGTGTGTGTGTGTGTGTGTGTGTGTGTGTGTGTGTGTGTGTGTGTGCTGCTATGTCTCCAAGCTTTTTCACCGGGCTCCTATGTGTTTTCTTTCAGGTTCAAAGGTATTTGGAGTTCAGCCTTATGTTCTATATCACGGTTTCTTTTGCTTCTGTTCTGACACAGTCTGGAATTCTCAGTCACTTAGAGTTTGAGATAGTTAGAAAACATTTTATTTAAAATATAAACTGTATTTTGAAGTGATTATTACCTTGCATATGGGGCATGCCATGCAGCAAGAAGGTCCTGGGTTCGCATCCCAGCCTGGGGTCTCTCTGCAAGGGGTTTGCATGTTCTCCCTGTGCACTTGTGGGTTCTCTCCAGGTGCTCTGTCTTCTTCCCACAGTCCAAACATCTGCTGGATTGATCTCTCTAAGTTGTTCTTAAATGTGAGTGTGTGTGGATGTTTGTTCCTGTGTGTCTCTGTGTCGCTCTGCAGTGGACTGGCTACCTGTCCAGGGTGTACCCTCCCTGTTTGCTCGGAGATTGCTGGAGATAGGCACCAGCCCCCCACGACCCTGCATGGGTGAGCGGGATGCGCTTGGTTCATCACTGCAGTTTTACTTAGAGGGGCGTCGATTCTCTGTTGTTAGCACCCTGGCAGGTGAGCCAGTCAGTGAGGGAGACAGGCTGGGGCATTCCTGCTCATGACTGATGATGATCGATTGATTGAAATGTGTTAAAGGTCACCTTTGTCCCACCAAAACCCGCTTGAAGCAAATAATAACTGCTAAATCACAATCAAAACCGCTCAGAGCTCAGATTATTTGTAATAAATTAAATTTAGATTTGAGGTAAGATATCAGGTTCCAGCATCTAGTTGTGATGATTAATGTTAGTGATGTGCTCTAAGAGATGTAAACGCTTGTTTTTGAGTGTAGCGAAGGTCATTAGACTGACTTTAAGTGGAAGCAGCTACAGCGCTTTGCTAAAGTGGTGTGCGAGCATGGAACTGCTGTAGTGTCACTGCTACAATGTGGGAGAAGAAGTGATTATTGCTTGCTTCCGCTGTTTACCCGAGACTCAGAATTGGCATTCATCTCTTCCACAGTTCATTAACATCTCATTAATGTAGCAGAGCTGGGTGACATCATCTCTTCATTAGTTGTTAAAGCTGTCTGTTTGATCACAGTTCCTTTGTTCAAACCGTGCTCTAACATTACATCCGTGCAATTTTAAAGGATTCTGAGTCTCTGTTTGCAGCTTAGTGAGAGGAAATGAACGAGCTCGTTGAAGGTCCAATGACGTTTAAACTCAAATAAACAGAGCTCACGTTAAGCTGGCTACATTTTCACGAGAATAAGCTATCTCAGAGTGTCTAATCTAAACATGTCTGCCTTAAATGATAACAGGTTAAATCTGTTTAGTCGACAGCTTGCAAGTTTTATGTTTCATAAAACTTCAATATGTGTTGAGATGCTGCAATGCCAAGATCATTTTTACAGACAGAAGCTGGAGCATCAATGCATAAACCCGTCTCCTTTGTTTGATTGACTCTGGGCTATGAGAGCACGCACTGGACCTCAGCGCCTCTCTAGCTGGCTGCTTTAAAGGCAGACAGAGATTGCAGGCACAGCTGCAAAAGTAAAATAGAAGTGATTGCTATGATTGACACAACAAATTGCCTAATCCTGGACACGTTACTGTGAAGGAGTGTCTCTTCAGTCTGCACAATGAGCCGTTAGCTTCGATCCACTTTATCGGTCCAGACTTCACGTCATGTGATTTAATGCCTTCAGCTCAGCTGTTGCCAGGCTACAAACACAACACCTAATATGTTCCAGTCTGGAGAGTTCAACCACGCCTCCATGTCTAAAACTATTCCAGTTTTGCAGCACTTTGGTTACAGGAGTGAAAACATTGCATTTTTTTAATGCAAATAATAACAATGTGTGCAACTCTACTTTCTTTTACATCTTTTTCACAGGCTGTGTTATTTTTTTAGCCTAAACTGAAAAAGAGGTGTTTGCTACCATCTTTAATAATTCATCACCAGGGAGATGTTGCAGGAACACACGAGTTTTCCTGAAGTCTTTTACAGAAAATGCTTCACTATAAAACTTTGTATGACCGTGTAACTCACACGGCTGACCTTCAGTCCATCAGAGTATATCCTTTCAGAACGCCACTGTCCCACATCGTTCCAGCACTTTGTTGCTGGGACATCATGACTTTGCCGCCTCTAGATAATGTTTTCTGATGTCGCTCCTGTCTATCATTCTTTCTTTCCCTCAGTTTTTCTATCTCTGTTTTCTTCTCTTCCCGCTATCCAACGGCTTGTATGCGGGAAGTTTCTGACACACTATACACTCTGTAATGTATACACACCGCCATAATGGAGGCTATTGATGGCTGGTCGGAAGAGTGATGAATGCGTCAAATTAATAATTCATGTCAGTATTAAGAGTCATGCTTCCGAGGGCACGGCCAGCTCAGCACTTTCTTTACTGTAACAAGAAAGTGTTTTATATGTTTGATAGTGGATGGATGAGAAAACGACAATATCCAAAATGCTATTAATTAGTTCCTATTTATTATCTTTTTGTTTTTGTCAAATTTAAGTGATATTGTGATTTGTTTTTGGATAAAGAGCAAACTAATTTATTTAAAACAATTTCCAATGAAATGTATGAGTACCAGATGTAATCAGAATCAGAATCAGAAAAAATGTATTTATCCCAGAGGGGCAATTAAAAAAATAACAGCAGAGCAGCATGATGTTGGACATACAAACATTGAATAAATAGGCAATAAGTAATGGGATGAAATTACTGTTTTTTCCCCTCCTCTGTACAGAACTAGTCTGCATGAGATATGGTCTCAAGGTCTCATGCATTCACTTCTAACCTGCCTATTTTCAGCTCAACAGAAGAATGAAGAATGAACTCTTTTCTTTTAATTAATCAAAGAACTCTATTTTAATGAAGCTAATCCAACCAAGTGTTAGTCAACAAATAAGATGTGACCAATCTGTGAAATCAAAATATTAATTACTTTATTATAATCCTATAGAATATAATAAGTAATATGACTTTAAATGTTCCAACAGGACTCATTTCACGTAGCGTTAAAAGACATGACACATTCCTTTCACTGATCCAATCAGAATCTAACAGATCTGACGGAGGCGTGGTTTTGATGGTGTTTGGTAACTCTGTCAACTTTTCATTCGACCATAAACTAAAACATCCAAAGTATAAAACTATGCCCACGTCATCTCTAACGCCAGTTCAAAGCATTCCAGAGAAGTTGTCGGAGTGGCCAATCCGAAACCTTCCTCTTTAACAGAAAGAACAACGACAAGCTGAAAATTTGCTTTGTTCCAACTGCTGCAACGGTTCCTTTCTAAATAAAAGCTGAACCATCAAGACCCAGGCTCGGGTCTCACCAGACGCCAACAAATTGTCGCGACCCGGAAGTATCTCACAGACTGGACTGGTCGGCAACCGCTGCTTTTCCTACCGGCTCGGTTCCAGAGAAGGTCAAGCTGGACCTCGACATTTCTGATCTAAAGGGGACTTCCTGAAGGGTAGGTAGACCGGCAAATGGCGTTGAATGTGTTTATGAATCTCCTAACCAAAGCTTAATGCGAAGACATCACCTTCAGTTCCCATCAGAACTAATCGCTTCTTCGGATTTGCTGGTTTTGATCAACATCAAATGTCATCCATTCACCGTCTCATCCACTTTAGTTACACCATACCTTTAGTGCTTAAAGTAAGTCTAGTTTAATTTGTTAGTAATAAAATTCTTAACTTTTAAACTTGACTCTCTCTCTTCTGTTGTCTCTGAGTGAATATGAAGCTGTTATCTAATCCCTACATTAAAAAGATCCAATCTTCTGGTTTAAATAACCTCACAGATCCGTAAGGTGGATTTCATATTTTCTATGGAATCCTACGTCTTATGGCTTATTAAATAACATGTAATTTAAATCATTACACACAAAATGTTTGAGTACCAGAAAATGTATCAATGATTTTGACTTAGTGAATTTTAACTTTTAATAAGGGATGCTCGGTATTGGCTTTTTTACCGATACCCGATTTATCGATATTGGCTGACTCTTAATTTCCAATACCGATATAGATCGATAACCAATATGTGCTGTTCCCCCGTCATAAAACCATTTCTTGTTCTTTTCCTACACAGTTTAGTAAAAAGTAGTTTCCAACATATTTTAGCTGGATTCTCTAGCCATTTTCTTTGATACATTTTCAAAAGATGGATCAAAATAGCGACAGAAATAAGAAGTTGGCACAAAAACCATGAACAGAGTCGATGGAGTATTCGCATTTCATCACGCATGAGACCGTGTCATCAGCAAGGAGGACGCAGACAGTAGAGGGCGACACCGTCCTCTGCTGCCCGCGGG